TTTTCAATCCTTTATATGTAATTTATCCTCCAATCCAAAAATATTATAATAAATTGTATAGTTGCTGACAATAAAGTCTCAAAAGAAGGAAACAAGTGCTACAGAAGAAAAGGTAGCAAATAAAATACAATTATATAGAAATAAACTAGAAGAGGTGAGGGGACTTGAGCCTCGCCATTTCCGAAATGGTTTTACTCTCTAGCACATAGGTATGATCATTAAATGTTTGCCAAACGAATGAAAACATTCAAGCATTATGGATAATTCTACAGTGAGGACAATACATTATAAGCAAGGCAGTTGGCTTAACCAGAGTATCTGCTAACTTATTGTCAATTTCAATTTTTACTATATTTTCAATTTCAATATTTTTGAGAACTCAGTATGAGTTCAACATACCACTATAGTCATTAAAAAAAATTCCAACATCTTCCTAACATGGTGTAATTCAATCTCCTATAATGCAAATTTATACACTATAAGTTACTTCTTTTCTTTCTTTCTTCCTTCCATGTTTTCCTTCTTTTTTTATGGTGAAAAATTCACCTGGGCTATTTAGGTAATAGTGTTTTACAGTAGCCCATAAATGAGCTATTGGCCCTGGAGAGAGACAGCCATAACAACATGTTCAAGCAATGAAATGAACAAAAGAACCTTTGGAATGCACCCGGTTGTTCACAAATAGCAGGTGTTTTTTTTAAAGACGCTAAAGAACTCCAATTTCTCTTTAAGGATTTTGTTGCTACCTTTCCTACAAAAATTACCCGCATTACTTCTGGACCTCTACTTTGAGAGCAGAGGAAGTCTGGCTGTATGGTACTAGCTCAGTAGCTCTAAAGCTTCCAGGTGCTTTCTTATCTGGACAGTATATCCTACCTACTGTAATTCCTGCATTGCTTGCACATTTGAACACATTCCATCCCTGGATTACAATATATATACAACATATATTCTTTACATAAACATTCAAGTGAAAAGGCATTCAAGGTCCACTTTTATATTTTATATAAATATATATTTTTATGTATTAAAAATATAAATATATCCTCTAAGCAATAATTGAAGTTTGAAAAATATCATATTTGCAATTTTCATACTTTCCAAAGCATATACTAATTTAAAATTATTTTTGGAGGATCTGTTATAGACCAAATAAGTACTTAGGATAACTTTTTAAAATTCTCTTCAAAAAGAAGAAGGTAGGCGTTTTTGCTTAGGGTTTTGTTTGCCACCAATGAAAGCCCAGAAATAGTTACTAAGCCTATTCCGCTTTATTTATTACAATAAGGACAGGGTGATCATATCAATCCAGGTATCATTATAACTTCCAAACTCATTTTAGGTTCAAATCAAAAATTCTAAAGTAAAGCTGTTTTGATTTGAGATAAATCTAATACATTTGAAAATATCCATCGATTTATGTTTTTACAAGCAATTATTCAGAGTCCATTATCTGCTGTGCCCTGTTTTAGGCGCTGGAGTACAAAAATGAATACAATATAAAATTCTTACCTTTAGGAAGCTCACATTTTAGTGAGAGGTGTCAGTTTTTTTCTGCTTTGCAGGTTCTTAGTATATGGTTTTCATATACAGTTACAGAAATAGTATGTTACAGAACCTAAAGAAAAAAAGAAAGCATTCGTTGAAGACTTCAGAAGTGGGTTTGTCTTGTGTGTACTAGAAATTGGCTGTTGAATTAAATTAGCGTTTCAGAAATATCTATTTAAATCCATATTATTGACACTACAGTGAAAGCAGTGAAACTTGTCAGCAGATGATTAAGTTTTATGGCTGATGTTCACACTTTTGTAGCTTGGGACCAATATCAGGTTTCTGGGAAAAACATCCTTCCTCTCTCCCCACCCTCCCTCTATTATTAATTCAGGGTCTCAGCCTAGTGGTGTTAGGTGTGTTGTCGGAATAAAGGTGTATCACAATCATTCTTTTTTTTCATTTTTCATTTACCAATCTGAGAAGAGTTACCTGAGTTTTTCATTTTTTTTCCTCTCCTGGGACATGAAGCGTTTAGATTGTTGGCTTATTACATATTTCATAAGGGAAAGTCTGCACTTCACTGGCTACTTTTTCAGTTCCCAAGACCACCAGTGAGTGATATTATTTCTGGGTGAGTGGAACACCCTTTACAAGCAGCTGGAGGAGGTACGCACGTCCCTAGATTACTGGCTTTCCACTGACTGGTCTTTTAGGAACGCGACACTGTTCCCACGGAAATTAACCACCATTCAACTCGACAGGCTTGTAATCCTAAGGCCGAAGTGGAGGAAAAAGATTGGATTGTTATGGGTTGGGTTACTGCTCCAGGAGGCCAGGCGGGAATTCGTGAATGGCTAGAGTGTCAAAATGGGACTTTATTAAACGACTCATTAAAGCGGCACGAAAAATAAACCTCTGCTGGCCCCAGAGGATTTAAGAAAAAAAGCTTCAAAAGCAAAATTTAGGAAACATGGCACACATATAAATTCAGTCTGGGTGCTTGCAAGACCACTTCGCCTGTCACCTCAGGCCAGAAACTGGGCACAGGTGTGAGAATTTTGCAGAAAACAGCTTTCAAAAGTGTGTTCTCAACGCGAAAGGGTGCGCCCTGAGAACTTCAGGGTGGACAGCACGCCACGCAGCCCAGCGTTCTGGCTCGGCGGCTAACCTTTCCGTCTTTCGCATCCCGCCACTCCCTCTCCGCCGCGGCCTCCAGCCAGGGGGCGTTTGTTTACGTGACGTCAGCCGTAGTAAGCAGTCCCCGCCCCCGTTTCCCTGTGGCCGCCGCGTTTCCCGCGCCGCGGCGCTTCTCCCCTTAAAAGGACAATAGAGGCCCCGGGAGCGCGCGCGGCCGCCGGGCCTTCTCCCCTCCCAGCCCTCGACGCGCGCGCGCCCGTATGCAAATAAGTTCGATTCACGAGAATTTTGTACCGGGAGCCGCGCGTGCGCAGAGGGAAAGCGGAATCTACACCTTCCCGGCCAGCGGTAGCAACTGCAGAACTGCAGGAGACAATCTTTCTAGACAAGGCAGTTGAGGAGGAGGGAGCGATTGGAGGGGGGGGTTGGCCTCGGGAACGTTCTTGCGCGTGGGACGGCTGCTTTGGGAAGGTGAGTGACTCTAACCATGACTCTGGTGCAAAACTGTCTCCCGAGGCTTTGATTGGAGTGGGTTTTTTTTTCTCTTTTCACCTCACCCACCTCCCCCAGTGCTTCCACACACACATACACACACAGGAAGTTTTGTCTTGGAGGTGGCATTGCTGGGAGCGCTGTTTTCGTGATCCTCAGACCCCGGATTCTTTTGTATACGCAGGTTTAGCGTGTCTTTTTTAATTGGGGAGGGTCGTGGAGGCAAACCGAAAGTCTCGGGTGGGGGAAGTGAGTGGCGCCTGGAAATGAGTGAGGAGTCGCTGGAGTTGAGGGATCCACGTTGAAGGTGACAATGACTTTTCTCAGCCGCAGTGTTCTCTGGCGAAAAGGAGCCCGGTGGCCGAAAGGCCCGGGAGAAAAGGACTTGCTGGCAATTGCGGAGGGGCCCCGGGTCGGTGCATCCGCGTGGGCGCGCGCCCCGGGAGTGGTCGGCGCCGTTGTTGCACCTCGTGGTGGAGTTTCTTGCAGCCCCTGCGCGTTTGGATACGGGTGGACAATAAACGCCATTCGCTCGAAAACTAAGTTGCCGTCTACTTGCGAGCTGGCGGGCGGGCGGGGGTTTAAATCGGCCTCGGGGGTCCGCGCTGGGCTTTGCCGGAGTGCACGCGGCGTGGCGTTGTCTGCCCAACTCCGGGGGGGATGCGGATGCGACAATGAGAGCAACACGCGGCCGCTCGGAAACGGCCCCGGCTCGCAGACGCCTCTTCCCCCTGGACCGCGCCCAACAGCGTTGGGGGCCGAGGTGTCTGCGGAGCCTCAAGTTTTGCTCGCAATTTCTTCACCTGTAGCGTAGATGTGGGCGCCGCGGTCGGGGATTTCTAGGGCGAGCGTGTGCGGCTTAAGATGGCCAGTCGGAGCCAAGTTGACTCGGGGATGGAGGCAGCGGCGTTGTCTGCGCGGAAGGAGTGAGACAACTCCGCAGAGCACTGCTTTTTGTGCGGAACATGACAGACCACGTGCTTGGGGCTGCGACCCTGCTGCTCGTCGGAGGGCTGTCTGGGCGTCCGGGTCTGGGGCAGCCGTGCGCTGCGGCCGCTGTCGGGGCGGCCGGCCGGCAGGACAATGTGATTTGCCGATGATGGCGTCTTGCCAGTTTAAAAAGCAGAGTGAAAGTCGCCAACTCTCCGCTGGTGCGGGGCGGGTCATCGGGGCGTTTCTCATCAAGGACATTGCAAAACTTGGATGAATTGGGCCTGCCGCGGAGGGGAGGACGGGAGGACGGGCTCCCGGGGCGCGGGGGCCGAACCCTTCCCCGGGGTGGGGGGGACCGCCCAGGGTCTCGCCCCTGAGAAACGATCCGACATCCCTGATGCTGCACGTAGGCAGCGCCCGGCTGGACAGAAAACAAAGAGCCGCATGTGCCCGTGCGGGCCCCGCCGGCGCTCGGGGCGGAGGGCCGGGCGGCTGGGCCCCCCGAAGTTCGGGCGAGTTTCGGGAGGGGCTTTTGTCCCTCGGCCCCTCGCGGGGAAACTTTGGCGGCGCTCCTGGGTGAGGTGCCATGCTGCGGCGAGGGGCGGCGGCGTGCTTCCGCGCTCCGGGCGGCCGGCCGGGCGGCCGAGGGGGCGGCGGGCTGGGGGCCCCGGCGATGCTGCTCGAGCGCCGGCGGCCGCGATCGCCGAGGGCCCGGGCGAGCGTGGCCCCGAGTTCGCGGCCCGTTAGCCGCGGCCCGGAGCCTGCGTCTGGGAGGTCTGTGGCTTCGCCTTTGAAGTCGAACTGTTGCCATGTTTGAATTACGTCAGGGCAAAGCCATGAGGAGGAACAAGCCCCGGCAGCGCGGCGTGCGGGAGGCGCGGCCTGCGGGAGGCGCCGGGCGGGCGGGCGCGGGGCCCGTTGTTCCGGCGCAGGTGAGGGAGGCGGCGCCGGGGCCGCGGCTCAGCGCCCGCGCCCCGCCAGCGGCCCTCCGCCGCAACTTTCTCCCCGATCCAAGTTATTTTCTTTACCAACACACGCCCCGGGAGCATTCCGAGCTGCTGCCTCCTTGCCTCCCTTCTCGGCCGTCACCGCGTGCCCGGGGGGGAAGCGCAGCTCGGAGGGCCCCGAGGGCCGTGCGAGGCCGGGGGAGGCATTTTGCTGCTTTCGGGGAAACCGGCGAGGACGGCGATCCCCCTTGTCCCCCCGCCGCCGAGCCGTGGCCCGGACGTTCAGGGGACTCAGCCCCGACGACACCCGAGAAACCACGCTGGGGAAGTTTCGGGGCTCCCTGTTGTCCTACAAAGGGAAGCGAGGACTGTGGCCGAATTGTGCGTGCTGCTGTTTTCTTTGTGTTGACGTGTGGGAGGGGGGATCGGGAGGGGCAAGGTTTGTTTTGGTTGGGGGGGGTGGTTTCTGGGGGTGGTAGGGCAGTGCAGAGTTGGTGCTGGCAACTAGGACCCTCGTAGGTTTCTTTGTTTTTATTTTCTCGCTCTAACCTTCGCTGACTGCAGGCACTGTAAGGCTGGGAATTACTGTTTAGCCAAACGTGGACCCTAGGCAAGACAGTTTCACCCCAGCAGTCCTTTCCCCCCCGCTCCTCACGTTGTCCTGAGGAAGGTTAAGAAAACTTTACCCCCTCTTTTTCTTTTAATAATTAAAAAAAATGAATTTGACCTTGTCATTAAAAGTACCCTTAAAGCACCTGTTTTTCAACTAGAGTTTGCCAGGCTTGAAAAGCCTTTTAATAATTTATGTTGCAAAACCGAACACGTTTATTAGTTGCTCCATCTAAATTAAGTTAAAGGCTGGGAGTTTGGTTCTGGTGGAGTTGGAGAAAAGCCCGATGGCATTTAAAGTATTTATATAATGATTTGGGGAAGGGGGAGACTTTCTTGGCCCTAAAGGTACGCCTGGCTCCGTGTTTGGTGATTGTTCGCTGCGTTATCTTGGGATGACCTTGAAGAAGCTAGCGCAAAGGGAGTTGGGCCTTTCTTTGAGATTTCTCTGGGGGCTGGGAGGAAGCTGCTGGAAGGGATGACACAGGTAATGGCTAGCTATCCTTGCTAGCTTCTTCTTAGTTCCTGTGAACTGGGCTTGACCTTCTGATTACCCCTCTTAGAGTTTTTCAAGCTAACTTTTTTTTTTTGGTATGTGGCCCCAGGCATAGCTCAAAAATTATGCTGGTTTGACACATGGATGCTTCTTTGGTATTTGGGGTTTGCCTGCAGTCTAGACATCCGATAAGCGGCACTGTGTCTGTTGCTGCTTTCTCGATTTCTCCTGCGTTTGGATCATGTTTAAGGGTTAGAATCTAAAAGTGGTCATTACAGAAAAATAATATCCCTAGATGCCGAGCCCACACACACGAAAAACTTCATGCAAATTGAAATCTGTTTTGTGCTTTTCATTGTTTTGTTGTTAAACACATTTCTGTCAAATTTTGTTCGACCAAATTACAAATACCTAAAGGCAACCAATATTAGTAACAGTACATTTCTGAAGTGAATAGAAACAACGTGTCAAGAAAATGGAAAACTTTGGATTTAATAACTTTATGGCTTCCCTTTGGACACTTGTTTCCCTCTCTGGGTCGTGTGTTTAAAATGCATATGAGGTGCTTTGCAAGTATACCGTGAGGTTCTTTGATTTGTTTTTCTGAATTAGTATTTTATAGTCAAGTTATGGCTAGAATTTCAATATCCTGGGAAAATTCAAATTTCATATATAGAGCTTAATGGTTTTTGTTTGAAATATCCGGTGATCTGTGCCACGGAGGTGTGGTTTATCAAGGGGAGTTGAGAGTGGGAGAGAGGCAAACAAGTTCTCTGCTGCCTTCCCTTTTTGCATTGCTTTTGAGGGAGGTTGGAGATGAAAAGTTCAATAGGTAGTATATTCTAGAACCTTGGTGGGCAGCAGCCTTCCAGGCTGCTGTTGCTGTTGCAGTCTATTCTTAATTCTGTAGATCTGGAACGTGGATGGTCCATTTTTTCCCAGAGTTGTAATCAGGCCCTGGGAAAACCTGGCTGGTGGCGCTCAAACTCAGGCAGATTTATGTCAGGAAAGCAATCTGAGAATGATTTTCCATGTAAAATAAGTTTTTCACTGGGGAAAGCTTAGGCTTATTTGAAATCTAAACCAACTTCCCAAGCTGTTATGAGGACAAATTAATTTACCATGCCAGGCACAGAGTAGGTTGCTTTAAAAATAAAACATTTTCTTTTCTCCTTAAAGATGCAAGGAATAGAATTGGCTAAGAAGGAAGGGAACACGTTTGTGGAGGCACGAGGTTAGTTCAGAAATCTCTGGGGTTAAAATGCCTAAGTTCAAAGCTGGGATCATCTTAAGTCACTTTGTGGGCTCGTTTTCTCATTTGCAAAAGAGCAATAATAATACCCAGTTCATAGGGTTGTAAATAATTAAGCAAGTAATGTGCTTTGTAAATATTGGCTGCTTTGTCCTCACAACTTTGGGAAGTAGACATTTTACAGAAGACAAAACTGAGGCCTGGATCAGTTGCCTTGCTGGAGGAAATATTCAGTGAATGTTGAATGGAAAGAATGAGTGTCTTTGCCCTCCCCCACCTTCAGAAACTGGTTCTGGGAAGACACTGTCTTCAACTCTGGTTACCTATCCAATTCTGATTCAGCAATTTTACACCAAAAAGTCCTGTGGAAATCTAGAAAATGCCATTTTCTTTCTTCCTGATTTCTTTGTCCACAAGAGCATCCAGGATTTTCCACATTTAGTTTTGACTCTGGGGGTTCTAAATTGAAAATACTTTGTTGTCTTTTGGTTCTCCAATTTCTCTTTTAATTGCATCTGCAACGAAGGTTTCCTGTATTATGGAGATGATCTGGAAATGCATCTAGTTCATAAGAAGGGGGTTTGTTTCCAGCAAGGGAGTTTTTCTTTTTGCACCAGAAATATAGAAGTCACAGGCACATTTGCTATTACATATTCAAATACAAAAGTTGCAATTGAACTAAAATAGTTCGCTTCTAGCTTTATATTTAGTTGTTTCTACCTATTATAAGTTTGATTTAGCTTAATGTTATTTTAATTTGGTGATGTTAATGTATGCTGAGTTTAAGTAGCTCTCATTTTGAGATTCATTTCTCCCCACACTGCTCTCCTAATCTCCCCTTCCTCCCCACAGGCCTGCTTGAAATAAGCAAGAAATATTTTTCCTACCAATTGTTATGAAAGCATTGAATTGTTCACTATTAATCTTCTCTAATTAAAACCACTCATTTGGTTTACATTTCCTGGAAATCTTTAAACCTCACAATTTTTTTCCTACAGAAGTCTATAGACTAAATTTTAAAGGAAATGACTCCATTCAAAACATCAGTTTTTTAATACACATCTTTATTGTCCAGACCGTTTCCCATTCCATGCCCTTAAATACACTCTTCAGATCTGTTTTGGCTACCCCACTCTTTGGATAGTTAGCAAATTCCACCTGTTTCTCTGTCCCATGTACAGTCAGCACCTGGTTGTAGTATAAGATTTAGTTCCTGCCCTGCAGCAGTTTACCACTGAGTAGAAGAGATAGGACAGTGAACAAGTATGTGAAATCCTGTATGTTAGGGGTTCTAATAAAGGTATGGAACGGTTTTGTAAAAAGAAATAATACTTAAAGAATTTCCCAGGTTCAGGAGATGGAGGAGAAACCATCTCAGAAATGGCAGCCTGAGTAGAGATGTGGCTAGTTATTAAAGTTAGTTTGACACTCCTGGAATATCAGAATTCCAAGTTGGGAGCAGCTGGTAGGCAGGACCAGATCCTGAAAAGCTTTGAATTTCTTGCCAAGGAGTTTAGATATTATCCTGAAGCCAGTATTGGTACCTTGGAAGAGATAATTAATATTTGAACTGTAGGAAGATAGTACCTGTTGAAGGATGCAGGGAAGCCAGTTATGAGGCCCCGACAGGGGTTCCAGAACCATGGTGAGGGACCACCAGACAGCAGGGGTGGAAGGGCCGTGAACCAGAGAAGTGAAGGAAGAAGCAGAATCTCCAAGGACTTCATCATGGACGTGGTGGGGACCAGGTGGAGGATGAGAAAGGAGAGCCCAGTTGACTTCCAGACTCTTTATGTGATTGTATGGGTGATAACCAAAGATAGGTGAATACAGGAAAAGCATGTTTGGAAGAGAAGATTATATAATCATTTTAGGGCATTTAAATGTTAGGACTGCCAGTCCTTGTGTTGGCGCTTTACTGATACTCAGGAGAGTTGGGATTTATCCTTATTTTATAGATGAGAACATGGAAGGGTCAGAGATCTTAAGGAACTTTGCTGAGGTTTGGCTTAGACCAGGTGTCTGCTCCCATACTCCCTTTCGGAACATTGTTGTCAAGCTTGAAAATGGGAGAACATTTCCACAGAAAGGAATGTGGCCCAGTTTCATGACCTTAAAGTCTCCCTGAAAAGGTTAAGTTCCTCTTTTCACACAGACCCAAGCTTAAAAGAAAACTTTCCGAAATCAGGATTCTACCCTCATTTTAATTTGTTGGACATGCCCTGAGACAGATGGAGTTTATGTTTCTATAATGTGCAAGTCTTATAAATTCAAGGAAATAAATGGTGTACATACACTGATATTTTCATACTCTTGCTTCACAGCATCCCTGGAAAGTAGAAGTGAGATTTTACCCTAATGTTACAGAGGGGCAAATAAAATTAGAAGTGACTTCCCTATTCAGTTGTAAAGACAGAAGCAGAAATAGACTCCAATTTGACTCATTACAGTGTCTTTTTCACCAGACTCTCAGTAGTTACATTTCCTAACTGCTAATAATCCCTTAAAAGCAAATAAATACTATCTCCCCAACCTTTACGACTTTGTTATCCACTGGAATCTGGAATTGGCATACCCAGTATTTTTTTTCACTATGTAAAACTCAGAGACCTGGGTTTGTGATAGTTATTTTTAACCTGCGCTGTTTCAGCTGAAGACTTATTACGTTTTTTATATGAAATCATGTTTATTACCTCACATTACCTTCAGAAATAGGAAACTGAGGCTCAGCTTACATTTTTAAGAATTGCGTAACAAAGTAAATTCTTGTGTTCTTAAATTATATACAAATGGAAACATGCAATATGTACTCTTAATTTTTGTATAGTTCCTTGAGTTCATCAAATTGTATACTTTATGTAGTTCTATGTAATTATATCCCAATAATTAAATGGGAAATGAAAACTTATTTCTGAGTTTGATCCCTTTCCTGTAGGATGAGTTCTAGCCTCTTCTGCTAAGTGTGGATTCATTCCATAGGCAGCCGCAGTTATAAATACTTTACCATATAATTTCTCAGCATAT